CAAAACTTTCAAATATAAACCTAAAACTGATCTGGTTCTAGAGCAAAGAAGGGCCCTGGAGGCTGAAAGGAGTGAGCTGATCCAGCAAGAGGAGGAACTGTGGAAACAAAGGTAAAGAGTTGACTGGTTAAAAGGGGGTGACAAGAATACCAAGTTTTTTCATGCAAAGGCTACTGCTAGACGCAAGAGGAACACTATCAGAATGCTAAGGAACGAACAAGGCAGACTTTTTAAAGGACAGAAAGAAGTCTCTTTATGCATTAACGAGTTCTACAGAGACCTTTTCAAGAAAGGTAACGCCACTGAGACAAATCATGTGGTTCACGCTTTGAAAAGAAAGGTTGCCCCTGCTATGAATAGCAAATTATTACGGGCTATTAGCTCTGGAGAGATTGAATTTGCCCTTGACCAGATGGGTCATTTTAAAGCTCCAGGGTCTGATGGTTTTTCTGCAGGTTTCTTCCAAAAAAACTGGAATTCAATTGGCTCTAGAGTAGTGGAGACTGTTCAAAGTTTTTTCAATCATGGGGACTTCCCTAGGGAGCTAAACCACACCCTCATTGCTCTCATTCCTAATGTGAAAGTCTCTAACACAGCAAAGGATTTCAGACCTATTAGCCTGTGTCGTGTGGTCTATAAAATCATATCTAAAGTTTTGGCAAACAGGCTTAAGTTGATTTTAGATGAGATTATCTCAGAGGAACAAAGTGCTTTTGTCCAGGGCATGTTCATTACTGATAACGCAATTGTGGCTTTTGAATGTTTTCAGTTTATGAAGAGGAGGGAGAAAGCCAAGGATGGATTCTTTGCTGCAAAACTTGACATGGCCAAAGCATATGATCGAGTTGAGTGGGAGTTTTTGGAAAAAGTGATGAGGAAGCTAGGCTTTGATGAAAGGTGGATTGGTCTCATTATGAAATGTGTGTCCACTGTTTCCTATTTGATTCTAGTGAATGGACACAAGACTAAGAGTTTCACCCATTCTCGTGGTATAAGACAAGGTGACCCCTTGTCCCCTTATCTTTTCCTATTAAGTGCTGAAGGCCTCACTGCCCTTATAAAGAAAGCGGAATTGGAAGGAAAGCTTCATGGTATCCAGATTCGAAAAAAGGCTCCTATCATATCACATCTTCTTTTTGCAGATGACTGTGTTGTTTTTGGAAAATCCACTCTTAAAGAATGTGACCAGCTCAGGGACATCTTGGATATCTATGCTAAGGAATCAGGGCAACTTATTAATTTTTCAAAATCTGAGCTCTCGTTTAGCAAAAATGTGATAATCAGTAGAAGACTGGAGATCTGTGGTACCCTGGGTATTAAAGAAGTGGAAAAACAATCCAAGTACCTTGGAATGCCCACTTTGTGGGTAGATCTAAGAAGGTGATTTTTTAGGAAATAAAAGAAAGGGTTCGGAAGAAACTTAAAGATTGGAAAGGCAGGACTTTGTCTCAAGCAGGAAAGGAGGTTCTCATTAAAGCCGTTGCCCAAGCTCAATGTTTATACCCCATGTTCGTTTTCCAGATCCCAGAAGGCACTCTAAAGGAGATTTAGAAACTGATCTCTAACTTCTGGTGGGGACAGAAGGGAAAGGAGTCTAAGATTCACTAGATTGATTGGGATGAGATGTGTGATGATAAAGAAGATGGTGGGATGGGTTTTAGAGATCTTAAATCCTTCAACCTCGCTATGCTGGGAAAGCAGGTTTGGAATGTATTAAATAGACCCCATTATTTAATGGCTAGAGTTCTAAAAGCCCGCTATTTTCGTAAGACTGATATTCTGCATGCTAAACTGGGTTTTCAACCGAGTTATATCTCGAAGAGCATTATGGCTGCAAAGGAGAAAATTGCAAAGGGTTTTAGGTGGAGAGTGGGGAATGGGGAGTCAATTAAGATATGGAAAGATGAGTGGCTAAACTGGGTTTTGGTCTACCATGTTGACCCTATTCCTTTTGAGGAGTTCTCTGATGACCCTGTTAGTACACTGATTGATACCAGTGCTGGGAGATGGGATGAGGAAAAGCTCAAATAGCTCTTTACGAGGGAAGACCAAATCCTCATTGCTAGGATCCCTCTCAGATTTCCTCTCATCCCTGACACTAGAGTGTGGAAAGATGCTGAAAAAGGTGCTTACTCAGTGAATTCAGCCTACTACTTCATTAGAAACCATCTTCCTAGTTCGCTTGCACGTCTCATAGTCTCAATCCTGAAGTTCTGAGGTATGGAAAGCTATTTGGAATCTCCACATACACCCTAAGGTTCGCATTTTTCTTTGGAAAGTTTGCAAGAATATCTTACCTGTGGGAGTTAATGTCGAGGAATGGATTGATAATGCCGCGACTGTATGCCCCTTTTGCAACCTCCCGGAATCTCAAATGCATGCTCTTCGTGAGTGTGACTGGGTCCGCAGACTCTAGAGAAGCTATGATGAGAAGGATCTCTTCAAGAAGGGTGAAGGTTTGTCCTGTTTCAAATGGATTAGAGAGGTTACCAAATGTTTCCCTGAGAATAGAATCCAAAAATTCAGCTCAATATTGTGGTACCTGTGGAAGGAGAGATGTAATCACAAGTTCAACAACAAGAAGATGAAGGAAGGGGAAATCATCCCTCGAGCTTTGGGTTGGCTCTCGTCCTTCCTTGCTGCTCATGAAGATCCTGATCTCAATCCACATGTTGAACCGATTCGTCCTCGCAACGAGCAGGAGAGCCGGTGGATTCCCCCTCCTGAGGGTGTGTTCAAGCTGAATTCAGACGCGGGGGTGATCCAAAATTGAGGGATTGGACTGGGATGTATCATCCGCGACAGCTGTGGAGCTTTTGTTGGGGCGATGGCGGAGAGGGAGAAGGGAATTTGTAGACCAATTGAAGCGGAGGCAAAAGCGCTGGTGATGGGCTTAAGGGAAGCGAATTGTAAAGAGAACAGTCCCTTTATTGTTGAGACAGATTGTCAGGTTCTGGTTAACCATCTCAAGAAGGGTGGAGAGGATTTCACTGAGCTCGGTTTCTGGTGCGAGGAGCTGAAAGAAATGGCGAAAGTGAATGGGGTTGTTTCGGGTTGTGAAGTTAGGTGGGAGTTTAGACCGAGAAAGGCCAACTCTGTGGTCCACGTGTTGGCTCATACTGGGTTGGGTTGGGATCAACAGATTGTTTGGGTTGAAAACCCCCCTCTTTCCCTTTGTTGTAAGATTGAGACTGATTTGGGCCAGGGTCCCAGACCGATTTATATATTTCCCCAGATTTCCTATAAAAAAAATATTTTGGCGGAAAAAGGCAAATTAAGGCAAATTAAGGTAGAGACGAAACTTCTGGCACCTTCGAGGGCCCTGCTTGCTCCTGGCATTTTTACCTGCTTATTTATTGGTTATCTAAATTAGCAAAAGCAAAATATTATAGATGGTGAATTGTGGCGGTGAAAAAGGGAATATAGGCCCTTGTACAACCTTCTTAGCCAATCAGGTTGCTTCTTAAATTTTCGGATGTCCACGTGTCCTCAAAGAGAGGTGTTTCTCTGCATTGGTACGTCGAAGTTTCGAGGGTTCTTGGACCTCTTGCATGTGAAGTTGAGTTAATTCTAATAGAAAGCCCAAACTATGCAAAAAGTGTCATTTGTGCTAAACTATTCAATATGACAAATGTAGCCTGAATTTTCAGTATTGTGTGACATTTGTGTCCTGACACTTTTGTTGACCGTTAGAGATAACGGTTGACTAGACGGTAGTCAACGAAATATGGACTTTTGATGACGTGGAAAAAAATGTGATTGCCATGTAGATATCACGTCATTAACACATCATATTATAGTTTCTTAATTCAATGTTATTTGGGTTCGGGTTCTGGACTTGGTCTGTAACCGTTTCCTTTGCCAGATTGGATTAGGTTTAGACCCACATGGAGAAGTACTATAAATACTTCTCATACTCCTCTGTAATCTGTAATCTCCTTGATATAGTGAAACTGGCTCTCTCTCGCCCGTGGACGTAGCTAACACACATCGTGTTAGTGAACCACGTAAATCGTGCGTCTGTGTTTTTCGATTCTCGCTTTCGTATTCTTGCTTTATCGATTCCGGCGATTTCCCGATCCGTAGCAGTGCGTTTATAACATTATTATTAGGGTTAATACCTTATTTTGGCCCGAACTAAGACCATATAATCAACTTTGGCACGTGGTTTCAGATATTAACATACTGGCCTCAACTATGCAGCATATAGACTCAATTGGCCCGACACATGGTTTGACCGTCAATTTGGACGGTCAACACCGTTGACCGTTAGTCAACACGCCATGTCATTGGCTCGTCAGCCTAAAAATCATTAAAAAACTCAAATTCAAATTATTTTCCTAATTTCTATTATTTATCGTTTTCAAATGAACCAAAATATAAAATATAAAATAAAAATTTTATATTTTATATTTTTGTGATATTTTAAAATGATAATTCAATAGTTATTTCAAAATGATATTTGAAAATTATTATTTAATTTGAAAATAATCCAACTCAACTGACACATCAACAGTTAACTCGTTGACAGTTGACCACTAATAGTCAACACTAACGGGAAAATAATTTAGGCCAGATTTGTCATATTAAATAGTTTAGGACACTAATGACACTTTTTGAATAGTTTGTGCTTTCTTGTGGAATATATCTGAAAACCATGCATTCGTCATAAGACATTAATCAAATAACAAGACTGCATACAATATACAATCGGAGCATTTATAAATTATAACGATAACATATACACACGTGACCAGAACAGTAGATCAAATTTTGATTGCAATTTATAACTTATAAGGGTAAATGCCAAATTTGGTCACTAGATTTTCTAAAACGTGTCATGTTTAGTCACTAGAAAAAAATTAATATTAATTTTGGTCACTCGAATTCTTAAAACGGTCCACATTTAGTCACTTTACGTTAACTTTAACTGATGTGGCAGTCAACCCGAACAGTTGACCATTTAATGTCTGACGTGTCAATTAAAAAATTAATAAAAAATAAATTTAATTCTTTTAATATTTCCATATCATTAAAATAATAAATAAAACAAAAAAATTCCTCCGCTTTTCTGTCCACCACTGTTGTTGAAGGATATATTTTCTCCGGTGCAGTGACCGACGACGCGATCGCCGTGGCGAATGGTGTCTCCAAGAAGAATGCGGTCAAGATCAACTAGAGAGAGATTTAGATTATGTAATTATGTAGGTCAAGATCAACTAGAGAGAGATTTAGATTATGTAATTATGTAAGTATACCCTGCCACGAGGAGAGAGAGAGAAAGCTCCCCCTATAACTACCAGCTGGATGTTGCTGCATAAACTATACTCGACTGAAGATCAAGAACGCCATTTCAGCAGCAGAGCCCTCCCTTGTTTCCTTTCTGTTTCCTCTCTGTTGCGTGCTTTGCTCGTGCTCAAACATTTAACGATCAACTATTAGGGTTGACTGCCACGTCAGTTAAAGTTAACGGAGGGTGACTAAAGTTGAACCGTTTTAAGAATTCGAGTGACCAAAATTGATATTAACTTTTTCCAATGACTAAACATCACACATTTTAGAAAATCCATTGACCAAACTTGGCATTTACCCTAACTTATAACAAAAAAAAGACTTCCCTACTTTGGAAGCTCAACAGCAAAGAAACGATAAAAACATGTCAATTGTACATCTCGAGCTCTACAAGATCCGTCTGCTGTTCGGGCTTTCTTGTTCTGCTCTGCAATTTTTCTTCAGGTGAAAGGGTAGAAGTTTGAGAACAGCAAGCTACCAAGGAGGATGTAGGCAATGCAATATCCCTGTACCAACTTCCCCCACTTCTTTCCTGCCAGCATCTTTGACGATGCAAACCAGTACAGCGGAGGGCTCGATGACAAGAAACGCGTAGCGACCTGCACATGTTTTTTCACAAGGTTGAAGCATCATCGTGATTATTGACATTGCAAGATATGGTTTGACAAAAAACAAACATGATCATTACGACAAAGGAAAAAACATAATACAAATGTCTTGAACCTGGACATGCATGACAAAAAACGCAGTGGCTGCCATGAATGCCATGTGCAGAGTACATGGAACAACGAAGGCTGATATGCGCCTTCCCTTATCTAGGGCTTCGTTGATTTCTACAGAGGCACTGTGGTCATTGTCTTCTTCAGTCATATGCTTCTTCCTGTGGCTAGCACCTACCTTATCTGTACACATAAAAGAAAGAAGAAAAAAAAAACAGAACCCTGGAGTTCACCATGCTTTGGCCATAGAATTCTTTTGCTAATTTTGGATTATTAGGTACCTTGGGTTTTGTAGGAGCTTATTGTTGAGGAATCACTGGCATGTCTAGCCCTTGTCTGTCCATCAGGCGACAGGAAACCCAACGAGAAAAACATCCGAGGTTGCGACCTCATATAATGGATAATAGAGCAAAGTGATAGAGATAAAATAGGGGAAGCAAGGAGAAAATTCGGCAGTTGCTTGAATTGAAAGTATGTCAAGAACCCTACTCCCCTGCATTCCAAAGAAAAGAAAGGACATGAACATTACGGCGATATGATATCACGAGCCTTGCAGAATTTAGTCTTGAGGAAATCATGATTGACAGAGGTCATTCAAAATGTTTGCTAAAGTTTTTAAGTTGTACATACCAATATCGACCTTGAATATAATTGTACAACAATGGTATTTTGGCTTTGCACCACGGCCTCACTTCATCCAGGGGAAGTCCAAGACACAGATTGAAATAGCCATATGTTTGAAAGGCGATAAAGGGTGCAAATGTGCAGAAACAGCGTAGCACTCCAAGTACAATAACTTGCACTGCAGACTACCAGATTGACAAGAAGTTAATAATGTATCATTATGTTTTCAAACATGCAATAGGAAGAAAGAAGACTCACACAAGTACGTTTTTGCAGGAACACAACATCATAAACTCGATGCATAGTCTGAATACAGAAATAACCCGCATTAAGCACTCCATTAGATCTCGCACAAGCAGAGAGTGCAAACCAAAGAACAGAGATATTAGTGGCACCAGATATCAAATGGTACAACCCCCCGAGTGATGACAGGGAGTACAAGCTCTCAGTGTATCTGCAATAAAAAAGAAAATCATCAGTTTGATATAATCGGGAGCCTCATTATTAGATAAAATGAATAAACTAATGCCCAGAGAGGTATTTACATTGATGAATAAAAAATAGATGCCGGGTTGAAACAAAATAGAACTGAAGCTGTTAGTGCCACTTGAGTGTTGTCCAAAATCAGAACCGAAAGCCTGACAAGGAAAAAATGGTTTAAAGCACTCAGCATTTATGTCAAGTAATGAAGAATATAGCTGAGCAGTGATCAAATAAAATCATGATATCATACCGGTACAGATAAACAGCTGCAAAAACAAAAGCAACATTGTTCACAGCATATCCAGCAAGTGACAGAACAGCCCTAAAACCAATAAGTGGAACCAAGGGTGCAAAAACTGCACAAGAAAACCAAACTTGTGAGTAAGAGAATAAGTGAATCTAACAAACCCAGAGACAAAGGCTTCAACTGTCATTACTAACTTGTACGGGACAAAATGGACATTAGAACAGGAAGGAGAGGCAAGAAGGCGTAGGACTGCTCATACTCATAGCCACATTGTGCAATTCGAACGAAATAGACGCCATCCCACACAACACTATCCTCGACTGCAGAACCGAGACGGGGCAGTAGAACATTCCATTCTTGACGAGACTCAGAGTTTGAGGATAGACACTCAGGGTTGAGAGGCGAAGAGGTGTCATAAGAAGATACAAGATTGCGCCATAGGAGAATCAGGACCAAGAGGAGAATCCTGGAGGCTATTGCACATCTGATGACAAAAGATTGGTGAGGGTAGGAGCGCCTAATCATTATGTTTCCTGATGAGCCTCTTCTCATGATTAACTGAAGTGAAGGTAAAGCAGCATACAGAAGAGAACCAACAACTTTGGAGAGAGACTTCAGCATGCCTCAAAAAATCAAACCAGCTGGAACATCAAAGTTACACTGAAACATCAGTTGACCCAATTTTAAGACCAGTAAAAACAGGATTAATGAAGCAGGTCAGCCAAGGCAACATATAAAAACTAAACTCTGCCCTGTGGGTAGATGATAATAATAATGGGCTGGCAGCATGATAAATCTCAATCAGAGTTTCGGCTAAACCAACTATTTTACGTTCTTTCTACAATACCACCACAAGGGTCCTGTCAGCGTGAGAACAAAACCACACTTCTGTTTAATTTGTTTCTTACCTTTCTTTACCAAACCCTACCCCCCATGTCTAGGAAATTGAACGTGGCCGAACAATATCGTCGCTAAACCTATGGAATAACTCAATAAAGATAAGGGATTACAAATCCCTTCTCATTACAGACATAGCTAAACCCACCACTACTCCAACTCTATCAACAAATAGAAAATAGAAAATAGAGCAAATCAAGTAACTAACTGAAAGTTAACTACATCGAAACCTATCTCTCGTAACTAAAATACTTACGGACTACTTCACAGACAATGTATCCCATCATTACGCCCAAACATTCCAAAAGGAATGAATCAGCCAAGGTATTAAGCATCCGTTTAACAGATATACCGTAATCCAATAAACCAGTAATGCAGAGAGAAAAAACAAAAACTGAATTTCGCACGATCAACCTTTACTGCAGACGCATATGAAATACTCTACGAAAATGCAAGCTTCAGTTGCAGAACTCATTTAAAAGAAAAATCTGGACTTCACTCGTGCTGCGACGATCCCAGAAATAGTTATTCAAATTAACGAACTAATGAACATACACACTTAAGAGGAAATGTGGTAGAATAGAAAAATCTGGACTTCAATCGTGCTTCGACAGTTCAAGATATCAATTTTTACAAGAACTACTCAACTTCTAAAGTGAATCGAATAAGCCAAAACCGACGAGTGAAGGAAATGTAGAACTTACCAGATCGACGATTCAAAGCCTCCTTCCTCCGGGGACCAACTCGTCGGAGAGAGACCGATTGGAACTTAGAGTTAGGGGTTTGCTCCTCCGGCTGTCTCTCGATTTTGATTCCTTGTGAGAAAGTACAAAAGCCCTCTGACCATTTTCTCAGCAACTGGGGTGTTTGCTGCAGGCCCACGACCAGGATAAACGAACAGCGGCCGGCGACGCGATGAGGGGAAGATATCGGTAGCGGGAGCTGAATCGCAATTTTTGGGAGCTGAATCGCTCGGCCAAGAAGAAAGCGGCATGAATTATTTGGGTTAATTGCAAGTTTGATCACTGGATTTACTAAAAATATTCACGTTTAGTCACTAAAAATATTTAAATTCATTCACGATCACTATAATTAGTTAAATATTTCAACTTTAGTCACTCTCCGTTAGTTTCTGTTAAGTTTATCTGACGTGGCAGTCAAATCTGATAGTTAACTGTTAAATGATTGACGTGACCATTAAAAATAATTAAAATTAACCATTTACAATTTCCACATCATTTTTACAACTATTAAAAAAATAATAATTTCCTATTTTCTACAAAGTATAAACACCTAAATCTAGCATTTCTCCTCCTCCATCACCTCGGCGGAGGAAGCAGAATTGCTGAAAACTAATTCCCGGTGGCGACGGCTTCGTTGGAAGACTAGGAGCACGAGACGCAAGCAGAACGGTGGCGGTGGTGGGTTCAATTGAAACCACCCGCTCCTTCTTTTTTAGGTAAAAAGGTGTTCTGGAAAGCTAGTGTGTTCATCATCGTTTTCCCATCGGCGACGGAGCCGAACTCCAAGGTTGATAACACTGTGCGATCTCGAGTCCAAACTCGACTTGTGATCGCACTGCCCATCGCAACGTCATCGTCAACCGGCTAAGAGGCGGGACTGGGATCGATATGGATCTTATTTTGTGGACTACAAAAATCTGGATCTGGGTTTATCAACAACAAAGTTGTGGATCTGCCGCCCCCTTCCTCGACCGTTTTCCGGAGAGCTCTAGCTCTCCAACCCTCTTGATATGGATCTGGATGCTTCTCTTTTTGCATTCAGTCTCGGAGTACTTGGCGACATCGACGACGTCGCAAACCGCCGTAGAGGGTTCTTGACGAGCACCTCATTCTCCGCCATCGCATCCAGAGGGAATTAAAGGGGAAGTAATTCCTTTGGCGAGATGTACAGTTTTGGATTTTGGAGAACCGCCGGTTGCTAGTGCGAGGGAATTTCGGTGGGCATTGGCGGTGGTGGTACTGGTGGACAAAAACAAATAAGAGTTTGCCATTTTTTAGGCATATTTAGGGATTAGGTGAAATTAGGATTTAATAATTATTAATAATGATGATAATGAGGTGGAATATTTAGAAGATTATATTTTATTATTTTAATAATTTTTTAATATACACGTCACTCATTTAACGGTCAACTATCAGAGTTGACTGCCACGTCAGGTAAATTTAACGGAGATTAACGGAGAGTGACCAAACGTGAACGATTAAATTAATTTTAGTGACCATCATTGAAATTAAATATTTTCAATGACCAAATGTGAACGTTTTCAGTAATTCCAGTGACTAATGTTGCAATTTATCCTAAATTATTTATGTCTCCAAGATTTCGAGTGCATATAGATTTTGGTTTTTGGGTTGGATTGCCCGGTTCAATTGGGTTTCGTAATTTATTTTTTATTAATATTTTAAGTGATTTACAAAGTAAATAGAATTGTGACCTTTTATGCTAATTACCTAAAAATCTCTGTTTTTCTTTTTCCTCAACGGAGCGGAGCTAAGTGGCCCAACTAATAAATGAGCTAAATTACTTTTAGGAAGGCTCCTTCTTTCAGTATAGAAGAGGCCCATAGTAGGATAAATAGCTGAACGTAGATCCATGCTCTACATGAGAATTTGGGCCTTTCCGTTATGCAGTGTTAGAGGGAACTGGAGAGCGGATCCCATGACCAAGGGGTCCTTAGTCACTTGACTAAACCCTCCTAGCCATTAGATCTGGACATTTCAATCCAATGGTTAAAAAGTGGGAAGGACTATTTAATTAATAACATGGGTAGTTTGGGTATTATGAAAAATTACGAAGTATACAAACTGGATCTACAATCAGTACAAACCATACAAACATACGAACAATACAAACTGGATCTACAATCAGTACAAACCATACAAACATACGAACAATACAAACTAGAGCGACAAAACATACAAACAGATTCACAAACATTACAAACGTATGAACTGTACAAACAATACAAACTAGATCGACAAACAATACAAACCATACAAAAAGAAAAAACAACCGGGTTGACTTTGGAGGCTCCATCCCTATATAGAGGGGCTCCTTCCCAAAGTCAACCCGGGTGTTTTTTAGACATACAAAACAGTACGAACATGATGGACAAAAATGACAAATTAGACCGACAATCCATACGAACTGAAAAAACACCCTGGTTGAATTTGGAGACTCCATCCCTATATAGAGAAGTTTCATCCAAAAGTCAACCAGGTTGTTTTTTAGACATAAAAAACATTACAAACATGGTTGACAAAAATAACAAAGTTTACAAACATTACGAAATAACAAAGCGTACAAACATTAGAAAATATGTCAACAAACATCACAAAGCACTGTCGTCGGAAAAAATTCTCCGTCGACGATGGTCGACGGAAAAAAAAATTCCGACCAGAAAATCTCTCTCTCTCTCTCTCTCTCTCTCTCTCTCTCTCTCTCTCTCTCTCTCTCTCTCTCTCTCTCTCTCTCTCTCTCTCTCTCTCTCTCTCTCTCTCTCTCAGCTGTTGGGTTGGGTTGGGAGGATAAAAGCTTGTTTGGGGAATCCCACAGGCAGAAGCTTTTGGGTGGGGGAAATTAATCCTACGGGCCTGAACAGCGGCGCAGGTGGGGAGCCGCCGGAAAAACCCCAGAAAACAAAACGGTCGCGACTCGCGCTGACGGTGAGAATTGGTTTGTTTTTTTAATTGTTAAATAAATTAATTATATAATTACCACATTACCCTTCATTAAAATGGATTAATCTGAACCATTGGATTTTAATGAGGTGGAAGGACTGAGATTGACTTAGTCATGTGACTAAGGCCCCCCTCTTAGTCACCTGATCATAGCCCGAGGGAACTGATCTCCCGTTGTCATGACTAGGTCTGTTAATGAGCGGAGCCGAGTCGAGCTTTGCCTTGTTCATGTTCGGCTCGTTTATAAACGAGCCGAGCTCGAGCCCGACTCTGTTATTAACGAGCCGAGTCGAGTCGAACACGAGTCAGCTCATTTATTAAATCTTGACACATCGTTAAGATCGAACGTTCGGCTCGAGCTCAACTCTAAGATAATTTATAATATAAATACCCTAATATTTATATGTCATATGTGATACAAGTGATTACCTAATGTTATGTCATATACGAGACGTATTTGCTTACATATACTCAATGTATTAAACACCATATGAGGTGATATATACAATTTAATAATTATATGCATCATTAACAAACCAACTCATAAAATATAGATTGATTTTCTCATAAGTTGTAGTTGAGTTAGCTCTCTGGTCACAATGTTGGGACATCTCATAAGCTCAAAACGAGACAGTTCATGAGTTGTATTAAACGAGCCACCTAATCGAGCTAGTTCACGAGCTTCACGAGCCGAACAAGTAATAAACGAGCCGAGCTTTTTTTAATCAAACGAGCTTTTATCGAGTTCAAAACCGAGCCGCTCACGAATAGCTCGACTCATTAACAGCCCTAGTCATGACCAAAAGAGAATCACCAAAGCACATTAGGGAGAGCAGGGCCGGCCAATGAAGTGTGTCTGGAGGCTCCCCGACACAAAGCCTACATCGTAGTTCTGTTAGCTTATCCAATACTATATTATATGATGAACTTGTAGTTGTAGTATATGATTGATTGGTTATGGTTATTTTGATGCGGTTAAATATGTTAATTAATACTAATACTAGTGATTGGTCATATTATCATGTATATATCAACGATTCATCACGCATGTATATTAATCATTAAAGTCATATTTGTGTTCTAAAAATTCTGTTTGTGTTATAAAATGATACAAGAAATCCTTAATGAATTAATGATGCAATGGCTGAAAATAATTTATTGCATAACACAAAAATTTAAGAGCTAATAGATTGTTTTATTTCAAAATATTTTTTAAATAATGTTGTTATGATCATTTCATCCTACAATATATTTAAATATGAGGAAGTAAATTTACATTTACAAATTTGTTTTGTGCCTGCGAGGCTGCGGTTTTCAAAAATTGTAACAATTACTAATTGTGCAAATTTGTTTCATGCTTGTTATTTTTGCCTTAGCACCATATTATCATTGAATTTCTCGTACAGACTACAGACAATAATTATATTTAACCATTAGATAAATGAATTGACAATTAGTGAATTCGCATCCCTGCTGCCTAGGGCTAAGGACGACGAAGGACAATTTCGAAGCAATGGTGTCAAATTAATGTGACGGGTGTGGTTGTGGTTGTGGCCATATATAGGCAAAACATCCGACCGGGCAACAACTTTTTTATCATGCTTCTTGATCAGAGCAGCTCACTGGAGTCCTCCCCGCCGCGACGTCGATGAAGCTCTCTTCTTGCAGTGGGCAGGACTCGCCGTTGTAGGAATCACCTGTCATCAACACAAGCAACAAAAACGGCTACATTTAGGGATTTGTGGTGGGAGGATTTCGGTTGTAGAGGAAGACAGGGCGGTAAGGAATGGGATCGATATTGTGGGCATCAGAGGAGAGAGGATCTGCAGGAGCAGATCTGGACGTAGAGGAGTAAGGAGGGGAGAGGGGATTTCTTCAAGGAGGAGGAGGTCGCGGAGGACGCGAGAGGATTTTCTGATTTGGGTGAGCCCTCATCTGCGATGGAGCCTGCTGGGATCAGCTACCCGGAGCTCCGCCATGGCAGTCAAAGGGCATGTCAACGCTAGTAAGAAGAGTGAGTGTTGTGAATGATTGTTATCCTCCCAATCATGGAGGCAGACTCATTTGTCATTCGAAGGTAGAAGATGGGATTCAGAACAGGGGAGTTCTACAGATCTGAGGGAAATGGTAATTTATTTATTTTTATTTAATAATTAATGTGATAAATGACAAAGTAAATGCAATGATGAGGTGGAAAGGAAATTTTTTTTATTTTCACATCATCTAGTTAATGGTCAAACTTTATAGTTGACTGCCACGTAGGACAAACTTAACGGAGTGTAACGGCCGGTGACCAACCGTGAAACAATTCGTAAAGTTAATGACGAATAAGAAAGAAAAATAATTCGGGTGGCAAATGTGAAAGATTAGTATAATTTGAGTGGCTAAATGTGTAATTTAGCCAATATTTTTTTAACATATTCCCATTTCACTTCACCACCTCTTTCCGCCCTATTTAGTATTTACCACCACAATGGGGAAAAACTGATACGTTGTTCCATCAAACAACAACTCATTTCACCCAATCCTCGCCCTCGACTTTGACATGGTTGGTTCTCTACTCCATCAAAGAAAAGAAACCGTCTTTCCACCTTCTCTCTCTCTTTTCCACGTCATGGAACTGTGATGCGATAGAAAACCACTCTCCATTTTATGTTGTTTGGGTAAACAAACCAAAAGAAAAAAGAAAAGTGAGGAAGTGCCAATTCGGCCACTATTACAACTAGTTTATAACCCCGCCCTTGGCCGGAATGCTCATATTTGATTATTTGTATTTTTATGTTACTTTTAAGTCTATTAACTCGTTTAATCTTATTGATAATCATTCGATCGAGATGATACATAAAGAAATAATATATAGGTCGAACATTCGGAGAAATATCATAATCATTTAAGAATATAAAATATAAAAATGTATCATTGACCCCATTTTCATAATGCTAATTAAGTCCCTGTTAAAATGCTATTGGTTAGTTATTTTTTACAGTCAAGAAATATAGAGTATAAAAGCTCACTGAAATTCTCATACGACCCATAGATAGTTTGAAACTAAATCTTAAACCTCACAATCCTATATAAAGGGTTCAATGCTCTCCTTTTAGAAACAATATGTCACTAATCAAAAAGAAATGGAGAGTTGTTGATTCAAGTCATCTATATACTAAAAAATCAGCTAAGAGGGGACCATCACAAGGGAGCGGATATGGTGACTTTTTATTTGTTGTTATTGTAACAACACTAGTCTCCAACCAATAGGAAGCTAGGGTTGTGATGACTTTTTATTAGTTGAGTTGACCTAGTGTAAAATCAAAGCAGGGGTATAATTGTCATTATGAAAAAATAAAAAATATTTTTTATTTTCTGCCAAAATTTTGGTCGCCGGAATTCGGCCACCGGTCGCCGGAATCTGGTCGCTGATCACCGGAATATGCTTTTCGTCGCCGGAATATGCTATTTTCTCATCGGAATATGCCATCGTCGCCATAATATGCTTACCGGCGTCGGAATATGCTTACCGGCGTCAGAATCTAGTCATTGGGGCCGGAATATGCCTATCGGCGTCGGAATCTGCTCACTGACGGTCATCGGAGTTCGGTCAACGGTCAACGACCACCGGATGTTATGGTCTTCATTGTGAGAATTATGGTTTGGTTTATCACATTTTTGTATGCCTTTTGTGGTTTGCTTTATCACGTTTGTGGTTTGCATTGAGAAGTTTCTGGTTTGCTTTATCATGTTTGTGGTGTGCATTGAGAAGTTTCTGGTTTGCTTTCAAATTTTTTGTGGTTTGCATTGAGGGGTTTGTGGTTTGTTTTAGAAGATTTGTGGTATGCATTAGGAGGTTTCTGGTTTGTTTTTGTGGTTTGCTTTAATGTGTTTGTGGTTTGCATTATGAGGTTTCTAGTGTGTTTTTGAAAATTCTGTGGTTTGCTTTGTGAGGTTTCTGATTTGTTTTATTAGATTTTTGGTCTGCATTAGGACGCTTTTGGTTTGTTTTTGTGGTTTGCTTTATCGTGTTTGTGGTTTGCATTATGAGGTTTCTGGTGTGTTTTTTAAAATTCTGTGATTTGCTTTGTGAGGTTTCTGGTTTGTTTTAATAGATTTTTGGTCTGCATTAGAATGTTTCTGGTTTGTTTTTGTGGTTTGCTTTATTGTGTTTGTAGTTTGCATTATGAAAAAGAAACCTGAAAATGAATACCATTATCACCAAAAAAAAAAAACATATATAATAATTTTCTGATTTGGGACTTCTTCCTGTTTGTTCCCAAATCCCATCGAAGAAATCCATCTTGCTTTTCTTGTGGCTGCGCCTGTCGTTGCTCTTCGAGATGGCTTACGTTGTGGATGGTGAAGGCTACTTCGAGATGGCTTGCCCTCACATCTCCAAGAAGGAGAAGATCTTCCCCACCAGATACAGTTCCCCAACACCAATTTCTCTGCTCGCTCGTCTGGTCTCTTCATCACTGATCAAGTAGTACACCCACTTCCCTCTCAAATCCCATCATCCATCTTCTCCTTTTTATTTATTTTTTTACCCCATTTTAACATGCAAGAAATTCCCACTTTTGCTTCTCCCTGCACCTTCCATCTTTAAATCAAAAGCCCTCTTCTTTGCTTATTAATCAATTCATGTTGTCCTTCTTCTCTACCCTTAAAAAGAAACCAAGCAGTGAGCAGAAGAAGCAACAAAAATAGCACAACAAAAGCCCTAATAACCTAGCTAGCACAACAACAAAAATTCAATTTCACCCAACACTTAGATCTTCATTTTTCTCCCCGCAGCCGCCATGGAAATGCATGCCGGCAGCCAGCTAATGATGATGACCTCCCCTCCTCCTCCCCACTCCGTCGGAGGCAGCAGCGGCAACATAGGGATGGCGGCGGCGACGAGCAGCCGGTACGAGAACCAGAAGAGGAGGGACTGGAACACGTTCTGCCAGTACCTGCGGAACCACAGGCCGCCGCTGAGCCTGCCGATGTGCAGCGGGGCCCACGTGCTGGAGTTCCTGCGCTACCTGGACCAGCGGGACTCACTAGGAAGGAGAAGATCGGCGACGCCTCGTAGTCTCCGATTTCTCTAGCGACGACGTTCTTCCTCGCCTTCACGACCTCAAACGCCTGGTTGGTGACAGAAGAAGCAGGGGCAGGGGCGGCGGAGGAAGAAGCATGGCGGAGTAGAAGCGTCGCCACTGCAAGGGTGGTCGGAAGGCAGGCCGTCGGAGATTCTCTCCCGGCGCCCAGCTGCCGCAGCTGTTTCAGGGAGCTGAGTCGTCGTAAGAAAGGAAGAATGCAAAATGAGATCTGGATGTGATGGGACGAAGACAAAATAGTTTTTTATTTTTGATTTTAATTGTTTTTGGTTGGGATTACCTTTTTGTCCTTGTTGTTACAGTAACAACAAATATACTGTTGTTATACTATCTGGACCCCATCACAACTTGAGAGCAAATAAAAAAATTAGGGTTATCTCCAATATACGAATAGACTCGATCAAAGTAATAAGGTGCAAATTTAGACACTCCTTATCTATTAGTTCATGTAGGTTGAATAAAGAAGCGACCTATTTCAAACAATCAATCAATGATTCCTCGTTTTAAGATAGAAATAGGTTGTGACAGTTGCAAAAACCATAAACCTAAAGATCCAATAGCCATCACTATCCGTTGTACAACCAAATTCCTATCTCAAGAGGCATATATGAAACCAAAAATTCAATTTCTAATCCTCCTTCTACAACTCCAATTATTGATGAACTCCATTCTATTCGCCATGGATTGATATCGGAGTTGAAATCTTCTACTCGCCCAGCTTAAAATCCCCAACAATAAAACCGTAGTGCCAAGAGATACCTGAAGATTGATTTTCAATGACAGTCTTGTATTGGGAAGTGAAAGGCGCAAACTATTGCACGATGGATGAAATTTCGGAGGAAGTTAGAAAGAGAAAAGAACAAAGATAAAAAAGCACAAAATTTAAATTTAAATTGAAAAATGCAAGGATACAACACGTAGTTATATAATTAGTTTCTTCCATGTTAGCCAATTACCCATTTACCTTTAGCAAGAGAAAATTACATGAAACTCTACTATGAAAATAGAAGTATCAAGCTCGATAAAAATACATACGGTAGACTTAGTGAGCTTGCTAATTATGATGAAAAAGTCCTCTGATTTTCAGAGATTAACTTTGTCTATGTTTTGTATCAAAAGGGATGCAATAAATTTGTTTAGTGTAACTGGTTGTGATTGTTATCCTTGTTTAAAGAGACCCGGGTTCAAATCTTGATATTGCTATTTTTATATGAAATAAATAATAAATGTGTAAAGAAAAAAATGACCTTCCTACTTTCACTCTCGTTGAAGGAAATTTGAAATGGAGAAAAGTACACAAAACTCTACCATATATTAATGGTGGATCTAGGGCAGAAAATTGTGACAAGTGACGAACAAGAGTTTCACCTAACGGTAATACCATTAGTCTAAAATTCGAATTTTTTTAGTAGTACCTTAATCATAAAAATTTAAACCTATATCATCCTTATAATTTTTTTTTGTGACAAGTGGTATTAGAGCTTGCTTTGGATCCAGGGCGGTGTATATCAGTTTGGTGGGACCCTCATTCGGTGGACTTCAGGATTTGAGATATGTGTTTGTCTGGCGGGTCAAAGGTGATTCGCGTCTGTTTGGTGGATCCAGGTCGATACAAAGTGTCTAGCGGATCAAGATAATTGGGCTAGGTGGGCACTAATAACAAGGGTCCCTTCTCTTGTATTACCGATGTGGTACTTGGATTGTCTCATAACAGAAGGGTTGTCTATTGACAACCCTTAATCCAAATTTGGGACAAAAAAACATTTGTAAAATCTATCTATCTATCTATCTATACATAATATTATGGCAATTCAAAAGTAGTTTGTTGCCACATAAGCATTTGGAGAATTTACAAGGTGCCATGGTGGACACTTTTTTCTTACAAACAAAAAAGTTAGTTAATGATCAATTAGTGTAGCTATATCTATCTTCTTTTAATATTTTCTTTTTTTTAATGATCATTTAAGTAGCTATCTCTATCTTCTTTAATGTTTTGTTTTTTTATTCAATAATTATTTTTGCAATATATATGTGTAGTAGCTGTATACTTACGTTTGGAAAGTGACATATATTGTAATTATTTAAAAAATATATTTGATTAAATCTGATCAATTAATTTTTATTAGAACTTAATATAGTGAAGTTTAGATAATCAACATTTAATAATCAATTGAATTTGAAAAACCAACTATATAATTTTATGTTTTGGTTATCAAACACTATCTTTTTCTAATCTTTGTATCTATCAACGAAGGCAAGTATTAAATAGAAAAATACTTCAAAAGTTGTTTTTTCTTCTTCTTCATTTTAATAGAAACATGACGAAGCCATAATATAGTACCTGATTGTACAAATGAAGGCGATAAAGAAAGACAACTTTTCTTCTCTCTTATAATGCATGCTTGCATACCTTATTTTCTCTTACATTTGTTCATATTTCCCCTTATTTTTCTTAACAGTTTACATATTTCGGTCAAACAAAGGTGTTAATTACACTTAAAAATATATTAAACTCTTTATATTTATATATATATATATATATATATATATATTATGACATACCTTAAGTAAGAAAATGATGTATAGACCTCGAATTGACTGGAGTTTGGCATATGATATTATTCTCAAACCCTTAAATATTAAAATCTAGGTCTTAAATTTATAAATCTCATACACTAAGATCAGTTTAATTATAAACAAAAATCAACGGTCATGATTCGTCAAAAAATATGCAACAAATTACCTGCACAATCTTAGGGGTTAAGCTCTATGATTTATATAACTAAGACCTAGGGTTCACTTATCAAGGGTTAGGGTATAGTATCATGCCCAGAAATCCGGTTAATTCGTGGTTCTGATAGCGTTTTCTTACTTAGAGTATAGTATCATGCTTAGATATTGACAAGGGATGTGGCATTACACCAACAAAAATGAAGATATTAGTATAAGTAATGTAATTTTTATCCCAAAACAAACACCAAAGATAAATAAATTTTAGCAAATGCATATTTGATAAGTTAGAAAATTATACACTAATAGACCATGTTAAGATTAGAACCCTCGACAGTGTGTGAGTATCTTGGACCGATATTGTAAACCAACATCTAAACAACGACCATGAGTTGAGGGTGAGTCAAAATTAAACTTTAGGTATTAACAATTGGTACATATTGTATAAGATATTAAATTGAGTGTCTTGATCGACAAATATGATCTTACACTAAGACAGTAAACTTTCAATTGGGATGACCAAATTTATCTAATATTGAAGTACCTTTATAAAAAAAATTCTAACTAAGTTGTCGTCATCTGAACAACATCATTGGTTGAGAGTTCGTCCAAACTCGAGATTCATTGAATGACATATATTGTACAAGATAAAAAAAATTTGAGTATCGTTGTTGACAAATCTTGACATAAGATTCTACATGGGACGTGATATATCTTTGTGACATGATTTATGACTAGAGAATCGAAGCATCATAAGTGAATGTGCTAAGTATTGAGAATTTTTAATTTATAGACGCACTGCATACTCACATATGAATGCAAATGTAAAAAATTTAGAAGATCCAAAATAGTTTAAACATATATATAAATTGATTAATGTAAATGATAAAATGAAACTCACCAGCCAACGGGCCGGGTAAAAAGCTAGTTTTATTTTAGTGGTGATAGTATTCATACATTACACTATTTGACAACCCTTAGTGATTTTGACCTATCATTGAATATCCTTAATAAATTTTTTGAGTATGCCGCGGTTTACCCTTAATCCCTTATCACTTTAATAAGAAGCATTAATTAAACGTAAACAAATAGCCAGCGCCTCACATTAGGCTACAAACTTCCGCTCTCAATGCCCTGTTCTACTGTCCAAATCCCTCCTTGGCTTATGCTCGGTGGGGTGCGTTCAACCTCCAAACCCTAAATATGTATCCCTCATTTTTCCTACTTTAATTGAAGGCTGAAAAATCAACCAACCAACGAACAAACAAGACAATCAGAAGATTCGGCCATTGCTTTGCTGGTGACCAATTAATTCAGTTCCTGATTAATCATCATAATTAGGGAACCTTTTCGGTAAACAACAATCCAGCAACGTGGATAACCACGTGTGACTCAGCTCATTTTGTGTTAGTGTGTATTGTACCATCTAACAGAACAATGATGACCAAATTCGAGATGCTAACAAAATAAAGCCCCGTCAACCCATTAACTAAGATTCCTTTCACTCTTTCTCTTGCTGTCGTTTAATATAGTTTTTGCTTAAACATCACTTGTCAAATTATACGTAGTCACGTTACGTCGTTCTTCTGCATATGATGAATAATACATTTAATTTACTGTTGTCTAGCATTCCATTATGAATTAGTAATTAATTCTCTGTAGTCAAAATGCTCGTCTCGCCCTTAAGACATAGGAATAGAAAATATATGTGCATGAGTGTTTGTCTCAGCGTTTATTCTTATTTATGAAGCACATTTTTTTCTCACCTATGCCAAGTAGAGTAAAGAAACGTTTAATATTTTATCTCACACAATATGTAAAACAATTCATGATTTTTGGGAGAAATTCAAGACCTCTAGCGTCAATCTTTTGAAAAGTGTGAATAAGATTGAAAACCCCTTTGACTAACAGGTTGCTGCCTTCATTGTGGCGAATTATTGAAGACAAGCAAAACACCATGGTAAGAGGAGAAACAACTTATGATGTTGCGTTTATATGCAGTGAAATGATCATTTACAACATGAAGGAGAGTGGTAAACCAACTTTGGTATGAAAAAATGACATATTTTGGTAATTCAACTTGAAAGAGGTCGAGTAAGACTGTTGGATAGAAAGATACTCAAAATGTGGTTGTCAATTGATTAGTGGAGTTAAATCACCAACATTATTATCGAGAGATCGAGTCTTTGTCTTTGCAACGTGGACGTACTGTTGGAGGACACCCTATTTCTTCTAGCAAAGTTCACAAAATGATGGTATATATACCCGCAAAATATGCAATTAATTAAAATTTAATAATTTTCATTGTTTTCAACTCCGACGCAATTATGTTCGTAGTTATTGCTTTTTGCAGTTGTCGGGCTAGAACTCCGACGAAATCATATTCGTAGTTATTGTTTTTGCAGTTGTATTCGTTGATTTTTTGTCGTTGTAGAATTACAACTCCGTTTATTACAATTGTAGAATCACTACTCCGAAACGAACTACTACAACTTATAGTTAGTATAATGCTAACACGCTATAATATTAGCACGACATTATTCGATCCCATAACATTCTAATAAGCCAAAACCACTAACCCACTGCAGACTACTACACAAATTGCAAGTTCTTATGTCCTTGTTACCTGGAAAACTAACGGTCATTCTTTCTATGTTAGTTAGCAACCAAACCAAACCAAACCAAACCTGAGTAGAT